AAGGATGGCTAGACTAATTTAAGAAAAGCAAACTAATTTGGAGATAACTTGACAAAGGCTCTTAAAGATCTAAATCGTGTTTTTGACATCAATTTACTTTCTCAAAAAAGACAATCTACTGACTTTTTTTTCAAATTTAAAAGTTTAAAACACGTAATATTTATTGCTTTTAGGCCTAAGAATTACTATTTGTTTGTTTATTTGATTTCTATTTGTTACTTTGAAAAGAATATTTGAAAAAAAGTCAACTTTCTATAATTCGCAAATCTCTCTAATTCAACCTTTTATTTTTACCGATAAAACTCGAATTAGAGAGAAAAATTATGACCATATAAAATTTGCAACCCCCTCAAATTGAGGGGAGTTTACACTTTATATCATAATTTTTAAATGCTGAGAGATAATACTATCAAACTTAAAATTTATCGATAAATATAAGTTTAGTTGAAAATAGTACAAAAACTATTTCATCAACTTGTTGCTCACACGTTTAGGGCATTGTCGGCCAAATTTTTTTTGTTCCCAAGCTCCAATTATCGTAGTTTTTTTCAAAGCATTCATATTTTACATAAGTATAAACTTATAAATGTTTGGAGTTTGCTCCATGTCTGGAAGTTAGCTATCTCAAAGACCAAAAAATGCCGCCACTGAATAAATTAATACTATATTTTAAAAAATTTTTGAATAAAAAAATTTTTAAGGGGTCGCTCATGACCTTAAACATCAGACGGATCCCTAATATTTTGAAAATAAAAGTTCTATAAAAGCTTTAAAATCTTGTGTTTCAAAAGAAGTGAAATTTTATAAAAATTTAAAAAATAATAAAAAAAAATTATGAAAACACAAAATAAAAAAGTTTATTTAAAAAACTATGAAAATATGTACTTTTTTATTTTTTGTTAAAAAACGATAGTTTTTAAGCAATAAAATTTAAACTAGTAGTCTTTATATAAAATGATTATTGTTTTTCGGATGTTTTATAAAATTTCACTTTTTTGAACCCAACATGATCTGCTTTTAGAAAACTTTTTTTTTTTTAAATATTAGGGACCCGTCTGATATTTAAGGGTCTTAAGTGACCCCTAAAAATGTTTTTTATTCAAATATTTTTTAGTATTGATTTATTACATTGGACACATTTAAGGGGTGCCATCAGACATTTTCAAAAAATATTGTTTTTAGAACCACCCTACTGTAGAGGTAAGGGCTGCGATAGGAAATAGAGAAACGTGATAGTTTAGTTTTTATATATATGGTACATTAGGAATGTTATGACGCATGTAATGATTGTTACGCAAAACAATTCAGAAAAGCAATTAGCGGTTGCAAAACAAGCAATTCCCTTTTTGCAAATTGCACAAAAACTTATAACTCGGTGTAGTTAAGGGACTTTTAAAATAATAGAGCGTCTGTATGATATTTTGTTGACTGCGACATTTTTCCGTTAAATGGTTTGGTCTGTGAATTATGAAAAGACGAAAAAACTTAAAATGATAAATTTTGCGGTATCATAAAATATAAATGTTTGTAGCGAAAAAATCTAGACCGATGATTCTTTTTTTTTTTTTTTTAAATCATCTTAAAATCACAATCGCTCGTCCAAATTTAAATAAGATTTAATATTAACATGTCTTTTAGGTGAAATGAACATTATAGTTTAACAATATGATCTGTTCTGATTGTTTATTGGCAATTTTCCATAATTATAAGCTCTTTCTTGGTCGGAATTCCAGTTTTTTTTTGTGAAAATTGATAGAAATATTGTGTTTTGATAACAATAAATAGTTAATATACGTCAGAACCGATTAGAACTAGGATCAGTAGTAAATTAAGAAACTTTTTCAAAAGATTTTAACTAAATTCATATTAATGCCGATGAGCGGAATTGATCTTAAGACTCCAAATTAGTGTTCTTTAGATACACTATTACGGGTAGTAAAAAGGTTTTAAAAATTATATAAAAAAAAGAAAAGTTTCTTTAAATATTATAAAAACCTTGAGCAAAAAAAATTATAGCATTTAAAGATCTTGTTTGGACATAATATGCTGAAAAAATTATGCTAATTCCAAATAAAAGTATTCGAATATTTTTATAAATCGCCTTAACTACACCGAGAACGAAAGTATTCCCTTGAGAGAATTCCACACGAGGAGTTCTCGCTTATAAGCCAGTGCGCTGAATTTAATTACAGTTGAAGTTTCCACGCGAAACTATACAGAGTTTTATATTTAAACTAGTTGTGATAATTTAATATGAAAATATTGAAATAAATATTAAATAAAAACCATAGTCGAATTCTCTTCATAAATAAGTATAAAGACAAAACATTACAATGCATTTTTAGCAAATGTTTAGCATAAGTAAATTTATCTTTTTAAATACTGTTTTTGTGGCATGTTTTTGATGTTGATAGAGTGCCACTAGGTTAAATCTATGGGTACTTGCCATGCTATACCATTACCATACGTATAATAGATTTGAATGAAAGAGAAATAAAGTTGCTTTAAATTTTTTTTGGGTAACATTGGTCTAGTTTGGTAAAGCGTATAAATTTTGTTTCTTATTATAGTATTTAAAAAGTTTATGTGGGCTTTCCATGAAATATTCTCATCGATAAGTATCCCTAAAAATTTTGTTGCTCTGGTTTTTTTGATGAAGAAATGGTAATATAACTGGTATAGATTTTTTTCTTTGATTGGAATGGAGTAGAATATATTTGGTTTTTTCTGTATTCAATAATAATTTGTTAAATTTAAACCAAGTATTAAGTTTTTCAAGTTCAATAATTGCAGTTTCAAAGAGTTTTGTGATAGAATTAGATGAATAAAATAAATTAGTACCATTTGCAAACATTATGGCATCGAGTTTGTTGGAGACTTTTGGAAGAGCATTGATGTATAACAAGAAGAGTAAGGGAGCTAGAATATAACCTTGGGGAACTCTGCATTAAATATTAGGCAAATTTAAATGAATTTTTTTCATCTTTGATAACACATAGCTGTCTGTGTTACACTGGTTGAAGTTCTCTAACCAGTGTAAAGTAACATTTTTAATGCCATATTTTCTTTTTTTGTTTAAGTAGTATAGCATGATCAACAGTAGGGGAGAGCAGGTAGGATTCGTACAGCGGGAGCATTCGTACAGTAGGCATATCTAGACCACTCTTTGTTTTGACATATTTATATTTATGTGTGTGAAGGCCACTCATGCACAAAGGTTAACAGCTTAGTGCCGTGGTAGTGCTATCCTAATCGTCATTGGAACAAGTCGATACGTGTTTTTGCACTGCTAAAGTAATTTTACAAATATTCTTTGAAAACATTTGTTTTAATAATTTTTGATTCAATTAATGAAATAATTTATTATTATTCTTTTTGTATAAGTGTCTTATATTAATATCTAATCAATAGTTTTCTAATAACCTTAACCGTTATTTTTATTTTAAATTTATATGTTAGTTGATATGGTTGGGGTACATTCGTACAGTAATAAGTGGGGAGGATTCGTACTGTAAATACGTATGAAAAAACCCGCGCAGCCATTTTTTTCGCATTTTAACAGACAGCCGTAACTGATTTCTAGGAGAAATTAGAAACGCTTTTGAGAAAATATGTATTCTCTGCATATAGGATATATAATTTTATTGTTATTATGTTTAATATTTATTTTGTTTCAATTTTAATCTTAATAAATGTTTATTTTCAATAAATATATTTTTAACTTAGTAATAAATTAACTTAGTAATGCATTCATACGATCTCCATTTTTTTGCAAAAGACATCATAGTACTGTCTTGTTAGCTTTTTTCTAGACTAAACTACAATATTATTAAAGCCAGATATTTAGCAGCATTAAAATTATTTTAAAATAGCAATTATTTTTGCTTTTATACGACTTAGTGTAAAAAGTGTGCGAATCCTACCTGCTTTCCCCTATCGAATGCTTTTGATAGGCACGGCTGTTTCACTCAATGTAAAAATGGGCATTACGTCACGAGTTTAGCAAAAACAATTTTCGCGTAAAAAGTATTTTATAAATGTCGGCATATAAAGTATAAAATTGTACAAACTTTAAAATATTAGCATTTTTTTTCTGTAATCGCTTTTATCTTCAAATAAAAAATATATAAAAGAAATATCTTTTCTTGTTATATAAATATTTACATTAAACGGAATAAAAGTAAATATTGCTAAAATATTGCTCTTGATTTGGAATCACTTTTCTGTTTTTTGCGATTTTTACAAAAAACCTGTCTTGGGCCAACTAAGATTTCATAACATAGCTACATGCTTGATGATTGAAATTTGGAATACTTATCAATAAATGTCTATTCTAACTGATTTTTGGTGCAGAGTTTGTAATTTATTTAAAAAAATTAGTTTTCAATGCATTTCGATGTATTTTTAGTTTTATCAATTTTAAATGCAAATCGTATTATTTTTGAACTCTGCACCAAGTTATTGAAATTTCAACCCTTTCTTCATATAAAAATCAAAAAATTATAATATGTATCTCTAGCTATGTTATGACATATATTTTCAAACTTGGCTGGTTTAGAAACAATTTGTCTAGTTTAATGCGTAAATTTTTGTTTATATTTCAAAGCAGTCACGTGACGTTAAATACTTTACGTAAAAAAAAAGAAAATATTTTGGTATTTTTTAATTTCGTCTATTGTAGTGCCTGTATCAGTTCGCATTCGGTGTAAATAATGTTAATGTGTTTTATAATTAGTCTAGCTATGTTTATATTACATATTAGTCAGAAGAAATATAATTTTTCTGATTAATTTTGCTAAAAAGTACCATTAAAATTTCTAAATTCTGCCAAGTTCGTCATTTTGCACGTTTATTTAAAATTAGAGCAGCCTTGGATTATTATATTGAATGATAAAATATAAAACATTTAGTCAGTGTTCATATTCTTTTTACAGAACGTATTTATCTTTAATATTTCAAAAGTTATAAAAGTTTTAGTAACACCCCCTAAGTAACTATTTTCAAAAAATAACAAGAAGCCGTATGTCCACTCTGAAACAGCCAACAAAGATTCCTAGAAAAAAATTTTTATTATCAAAAAGGTCATTTATTTTAGTTACGAGATCTAATATGGCATGTTCGGTTGAATGTTGCTTTTGAAATATATATTGTTTTTTGTTCATAATATTGTTATTAGTTAGATTTGTAAGCTATTCGTTCTAGAAGTTTAGAAAACACAGGAAGGATTGAGATTGGCTTTCAGTTTTCAATATTGGTATGACTTTTTGAGAAATTGAGAAATGGCTTTCAGTTTTAAATATTGGTATGACTTTTGCAATTTTTAATTTGTCTGGAACAGTTTCCGTTGTTATTGAAGATTTGAAAATTTTGAATATGGGTTGCGTATCATCGGAAGACACTTATTACTACATTGCTACAAATCTTATCGATTCCTGGTGTTTTGTTATTTTTTAGAGAGTTTTAGAGCAACTTTAAGTTCATCATAACTTAGTCCATTGAATTTTAGTTCGCTATGTAGATCTTTAAGATTTCAATATAGGTATTTGGACATTAAAATTTGAATGCCATGTTAGGGCCGATGTTTGGAAAGAAACTGTTGAAATGTTTATTTAACATCAACTTTATTTAGTCATGAAGGGCAGAATTTTAATTGATAGGAATGAATTAAAAATTAATTTTTGATTACATTTTTTTAACAAAAAAAAAATTATTCTCTCCCCAAACCCCCCTCCCTTGACCATATTTGACCCTATTATAAAGATTTTTAATCTTCCTTCCTTGTTTACCTTTTCTACATCATAGAGCAAGTTTTCAGTAATTTTGAATAAATATTTTCAAAATTAACTTTGGCCTAAGTTTAATTTATTTCTGATTACTGTGTAGCCTAGGAAATAAATATTGCATTACAACATACAAGGGCTATGCTATTATTTCTTGATGATTTCAAAAACAATTTTGAACAGATTATTAAAGAAGCATGAGAAGCATCGGTAAAAATAAATGTTAAAGCACAGTTCACTGAATGGTCTTCTTTTTTAAATATTAACTAACCAAGAGTGTCTTGGTAAATCACCACAATCTAGTTTAACCCAAGTATATATATTATATAATTTGTTTACCCTTACCAAAACGGAGAATGCATAATCTCAAGAGATTTGCAAGCTATTGTGGTTATACAGACCATAAAAATAAAGAAAATAAGATATATGACGATATTGATGACATACCAAATGGTGAAATTAAACCAACAGACAAAGAAATTGAGCCAGTTAAATGTGGTGATGGTTTTGATAAAGGTGAGGTTATTTCTGAAATTGATCCTCCCTCATATTTTTTCTCTACAGTTATCATTACTAATACCTCAGCCTATAAATAAAGCAACAAGTGTTTTTTACATTAACATAGATATCGGAGAGAACCACAAACATCAAACATAACTCATATATATATGGGTCCAAGTAGCCCTGGATAGTCGTATAGTGAAAGATTCTTTGCAAGAAAGAATTGAATTGTATAATTCTTAAAATAAAGTTTTTGGTTTTCTTTTGAATAATAAAAAACTAAAAAATATGAATACAAATGAATTCATTTCTAATTTTACAAACACTTAGAAGAAGATGTGTAAGAGTTTAAAAATAAATTTTCTATTTTAAAATACTTTTGTAGATAATAATACTAATATAAGTATAGGGAAGAGCAGATAGGATTCGTTCAGCAGGAGGATTCGTACAGTAGGCATATCTAGACCACTCTTTGTTTTGACACATTTATATTTATGTGTGTGTGAAGACCATTCATGCACAAAGGCTAATAGCTTAGTGCTGTGGTAGTGCTTTCTCCTATAGTCTTCTAACCACAATATTGGTTTATTTTAAGTAGTAACCAATTTATATTATCATATTAGATTTTATAAAATAAAATGTAAAACAAACAAAATAAATTGTAATTGGGTGTGTAACAAATCAACTTGTTGCAATTATTGATTGTGGTATAAGAAACTTTCATAATGTAAAATGATGTATTAAACAGCATTTTCTTATTAATAATAGTGTAATCTATTAAAATATAGAAAGGAATTCATTTAAGAACATAATTTAGGGAATTATGTCCTAATGTATCATATGTTGAATAATTGTATTGTAAATGATTATTTTCAAAATTAAAATTAATTGAAAATTATCAATGGTCTACAATGTCAAAGACTTTCAGGATTAGCTATAATGTTGGTTAAAGTTATATATTTTAGGTATTTCTTTTGCTTATCTTTTTCAGGCTTTTGCCATTTTGGACAAATTTTATATTTTATAACTAGTTTTTAAGTTTCTTATACCACAATCAATAATTGCAAAAAGGTGATTTGTTACACACCCTAATTTATTTTACATTTCATTTTATAAAATTTAATATGATAATATTAATTAGAACTACTTAAAGTAAACCAATATTGTGGAAAGAAGACTATGTACCTAAAATGTTTTCATAATGTAAAATGATGTGTTAAACAGAATTTTCTTATTACTGTAAAGCGACAGACCCATTAATTAAATAAAAATATTTAATTAAGTTTAATTTTAATTTTTTATTTTTTAAGTATGTTGCACCAAATGTATTTGTTGAACTACTATTAATCAGTTTTAAAAATCCTGACGGCTTAGATTATAAAGGAAATAAATGTGATTTATGGGTAATACAGAATTGTGACACAAAATTAAAGATATGCTTTGACCTTAAAAATGAATGTTTAAGTTTTTTGGAAACTAAAGAATACACAAATATGAATAGTATAGACTTTGCATCAGAAGATAATAAAAATAAATTATTTATTCAAGAATTTAAAGAACCATACAAAGTAAGTAAATTATTTTTTACATCATTTTTGATTTTTGATTTAAACATAATGTAAAGTAAAGTCTTATAGTACTACACTAATAAAAATTAATTTTAAATGGTTTTTTTTTCATTTAGTGGTAAGTAAAAAAAAAAAACAGGTGATAAGGCAAGATGAGTCAAGTGATTAGGAGGGAATAAAGTGCTAAAAATTAAATGTGTTTCTTAACTTTTCATTTCATTAAGATAATTATCAATTTAGGAAAAAATTTTCATATATATTGAAGCGAATGATGAAGAATCTGTAACTGCAGTTGATTTGATTGATGAATTTGTTCATGAAATAAACATAAAGGTGTCATCAAACAAAACTGTAGCAAAGTTTAATGATTTTTCTAAAAATGGCAAATATTTTCAATTTAGTAAGTCAACAATTCAATACGGTCTTAAAGTATATTGCTCCTTAAATTATTTTGGAAATGACTGCAATAAGTATTGTGAAGTAAGTAAAAATTCAAACGTTGTTTGTAATAATTTTGGAGAAAAAGTTTGCAAGTTAGATTGGTTTAATGAAAATTGTAGTGTTTTTTGTAAACCAAAAGCCAATGAAAAATATAAATGTGACCAAAAGTCTGGTAAAAAAATATGTTTTCTTAATTATTATGGCATTGAATGTGACAAATATTGTGACACTAAAGGCATTAACTATATATGCAATAATGTTACTGGTGAAAAAATATGTAAACTTAATTTTTATGGCGAAAACTGTACAACATTTTGCAGTGCAAATGCTTCTAATTATTACTGTGACGAAAATGGTAATATGATCTGTAAAAAAAACTATTTTGGTAAAAACTGTAAATTTTGTGAAAATGATGTTGTAGACAAAAAGTACACATGCAATACCACAACAGGAGAAAAAGAGTGTTACAAAAACTACTATGGACCAAACTGCACTTATTGTAATACATATAATAACAGTAAAAATTATAAATGCAATATTTCTACTGGAGAAAAAGTATGTTTTTCTAATTATTATGATGAAAACTGTTCCACATTTTGTTTAGCTAACAATAAAACTGACAATTTTGTTTGCAATGAAATAACTGGTGAAAAACTATGTTTTGATAATTACTATGGAAACAACTGTTCTGTTTACTGCAACACAAATAATAAAACTGCAAATTATTTTTGTAAGAATTCGACTGGAGAAAAAGAATGTTTTTCTGATTATTATGGTCAAAACTGTTCAACATTTTGTTTAGCTGACAATAAAACTGACAATTTTGTTTGCAATGAAATAACTGGTGAAAAACTATGTTTTGATAATTACTATGGAAACAACTGTTCTGTTTACTGCAACACAAATAATAATACTGCAAATTATTTTTGTAATAATTCGACTGGAGAAAAAGTATGTTTTTCTGATTATTATGGTCAAAACTGTTCAAAATTTTGTTTAGCTAACAATAAAACTGATAATTTTGTTTGTAATGAAATAACTGGTGAAAAACTATGTTTTGATAATTATTATGGAAACAACTGTTCTGTTTACTGCAACACAAATAATAATACTGCAAATTATTTTTGTAATAATTCGACTGGAGAAAAAGTATGTTTTTCTGATTATTATGGTCAAAACTGTTCAAAATTTTGTTTAGCTAACAATAAAACGGATAATTTTGTTTGCAATGAAATAACTGGTGAAAAACTATGTTTTGATAATTATTATGGAAACAACTGTTCTGTTTACTGCAACACAAATAATAATACTGCAAATTATTTTTGTAATAATTCGACTGGAGAAAAAGAATGTTTTTCTGATTATTATGGTCAAAACTGTTCAACATTTTGTTTAGCTAACAATGAAACTGACAATTTTGTTTGCAATGAAATAACTGGTGAAAAACTATGTTTTGATAATTACTATGGAAAAAACTGTTCTGTTTACTGCAACACAAATAATAATACTGCAAATTATTTTTGTAATAATTCGACTGGAGAAAAAGAATGTTTTTCTGATTATTATGGTCAAAACTGTTCAACATTTTGTTTAGCTAACAACGAAACTGACAATTTTGTTTGCAATGAAATAACTGGTGAAAAACTATGTTTTGATAATTACTATGGAAACAACTGTTCTGTTTACTGCAACACAAATAATAATACTGCAAATTATCTTTGTAATAATTCGACTGGAGAAAAAGTATGTTTTTCTGATTATTATGGTCAAAACTGTTCAACATTTTGTTTAGCTAACAATGAAACTGACAATTTTGTTTGCAATGAAATAACTGGTGAAAAACTATGTTTTGATAATTACTATGGAAACAACTGTTCTGTTTACTGCAACACAAATAATAATACTGCAAATTATTTTTGTAATAATTCGACTGGAGAAAAAGAATGTTTTTCTGATTATTATGGTCAAAACTGTTCAAAATTTTGTTTAGCTAACAATAAAACTGATAATTTTGTTTGCAATAAAATAACTGGTGAAAAACTATGTTTTGATAATTATTATGGTGACAACTGTTCTGTTTACTGCAACACAAATAATAATACTGCAAATTATCTTTGTAATAATTCGACTGGAGAAAAAGAATGTTTTTCTGATTATTATGGTCAAAACTGTTCAACATTTTGTTTAGCTAACAACGAAACTGACAATTTTGTTTGCAATGAAATAACTGGTGAAAAACTATGTTTTGATAATTACTATGGAAACAACTGTTCTGTTTACTGCAACACAAATAATAATACTGCAAATTATCTTTGTAATAATTCGACTGGAGAAAAAGTATGTTTTTCTGATTATTATGGTCAAAACTGTTCAACATTTTGTTTAGCTAACAATGAAACTGACAATTTTGTTTGCAATGAAATAACTGGTGAAAAACTATGTTTTGATAATTACTATGGAAACAACTGTTCTGTTTACTGCAACACAAATAATAATACTGCAAATTATTTTTGTAATAATTCGACTGGAGAAAAAGAATGTTTTTCTGATTATTATGGTCAAAACTGTTCAAAATTTTGTTTAGCTAACAATAAAACTGATAATTTTGTTTGCAATAAAATAACTGGTGAAAAACTATGTTTTGATAATTATTATGGTGACAACTGTTCTGTTTACTGCAACACAAATAATAATACTGCAAATTATCTTTGTAATAATTCGACTGGAGAAAAAGAATGTTTTTCTGATTATTATGGTCAAAACTGTTCAACTTTTTGTTTAGCTAACAACGAAACTGACAATTTTGTTTGCAATGAAATAACTGGTGAAAAACTATGTTTTGATAATTACTATGGAAACAACTGTTCTGTTTACTGCAACACAAATAATAATACTGCAAATTATTTTTGTAATAATTCGACTGGAGAAAAAGAATGTTTTTCTGATTATTATGGTCAAAACTGTTCAACATTTTGTTTAGCTAACAATGAAACTGACAATTTTGTTTGCAATGAAATAACTGGTGAAAAACTATGTTTTGATAGTTATTATGGAAACAACTGTTCTGTTTACTGCAACACAAATAATAATACTGCAAATTATCTTTGTAATAATTCGACTGGAGAAAAAGTATGTTTTTCTGATTATTATGGTCAAAACTGTTCAACATTTTGTTTAGCTAACAATGAAACTGACAATTTTGTTTGCAATGAAATAACTGGTGAAAAACTATGTTTTGATAATTACTATGGAAACAAATGTTCTGTTTACTGCAACACAAATAATAATACTGCAAATTATTTTTGTAATAATTCGACTGGAGAAAAAGAATGTTTTTCTGATTATTATGGTCAAAACTGTTCAAAATTTTGTTTAGCTAACAATAAAACTGATAATTTTGTTTGCAATAAAATAACTGGTGAAAAACTATGTTTTGATAATTATTATGGTGAAAACTGTTCTGTTTACTGCAACACAAATAATAATACTGCAAATTATCTTTGTAATAATTCGACTGGAGAAAAAGAATGTTTTTCTGATTATTATGGTCAAAACTGTTCAACATTTTGTTTAGCTAACAATGAAACTGACAATTTTGTTTGCAATGAAATAACTGGTGAAAAACTATGTTTTGATAATTACTATGGAAACAACTGTTCTGTTTATTGCAACACAAATAATAATACTGCAAATTATTTTTGTAATAATTCGACTGGAGAAAAAGAATGTTTTTCTGATTATTATGGTCAAAACTGTTCAACATTTTGTTTAGCTAACAACGAAACTGACAATTTTGTTTGCAATGAAATAACCGGTGAAAAACTATGTTTTGATAATTACTATGGAAACAACTGTTCTGTTTACTGCAACACAAATAATAATACTGCAAATTATTTTTGTAATAATTCGACTGGAGAAAAAGAATGTTTTTCTGATTATTATGGTCAAAACTGTTCAACATTTTGTTTAGCTAACAATGAAACTGACAATTTTGTTTGCAATGAAATAACCGGTGAAAAGCTATGTTTTGATAATTATTATGGAAACAACTGTTCTGTTTACTGCAACACAAATAATAATACTGCAAATTATCTTTGTAATAATTCGACTGGAGAAAAAGAATGTTTTTCTGATTATTATGGTCAAAACTGTTCAACATTTTGTTTAGCTAACAACGAAACTGACAATTTTGTTTGCAATGAAATAACTGGTGAAAAACTATGTTTTGATAATTATTATGGTGACAACTGTTCTGTTTACTGCAACACAAATAATAATACTGCAAATTATCTTTGTAATAATTCGACTGGAGAAAAAAAGTGTTTTTCTGATTATTATGGTCAAAACTGTTCAACATTTTGTTTAGCTGACAATAAAATTGACAATTTTGTTTGCAATAAAATAACTGGTGAAAAACTATGTTTTGATAATTACTATGGAGAAAACTGTTCTGTTTACTGCAACACAAATAATAATACTGCAAATTATTTTTGTAATAATTTGACTGGAGCCAAAGAATGTTTTTCTGATTATTATGGTCAAAACTGTTCAACATTTTGTTTAGCTAACAACAAAACTGACAATTTTGTTTGCAATGAAATATCTGGTGAAAAACTATGTTTTGATAATTACTATGGAAACAACTGTTCTGTTTACTGCAACACAAATAATGATACTGCAAATTATCTTTGTAATAATTCGACCGGAGAAAAAGTATGTTTTTCTGATTATTATGGTCAAAACTGTTTAACATTTTGTTTAGCTAACAACGAAACTGACAATTTTGTTTGCAATGAAATAACTGGTGAAAAACTATGTTTTGATGATTATTATGGTCACAACTGTTCTGTTTACTGCAACACAAATAATAATACTGCAAATTATCTTTGTAATAATTCGACTGGAGAAAAAAAGTGTTTTTCTGATTATTATGGTCAAAACTGTTCAACATTTTGTTTAGCTGACAATAAAACTGACAATTTTGTTTGCAATAAAATAACTGGTGAAAAACTATGTTTTGATAATTATTATGGAGAAAACTGTTCTGTTTACTGCAACACAAATAATAATACTGCAAATTATTTTTGTAATAATTTGACTGGAGCCAAAGAATGTTTTTCTGATTATTATGGTCAAAACTGTTCAACATTTTGTTTAGCTAACAACAAAACTGACAATTTTGTTTGCAATGAAATATCTGGTGAAAAACTATGTTTTGATAATTACTATGGAAACAACTGTTCTGTTTACTGCAACACAAATAATGATACTGCAAATTATCTTTGTAATAATTCGACCGGAGAAAAAGTATGTTTTTCTGATTATTATGGTCAAAACTGTTCAACATTTTGTTTAGCTAACAACGAAACTGACAATTTTGTTTGCAATGAAATAACTGGTGAAAAACTATGTTTTGATGATTATTATGGTGACAACTGTTCTGTTTACTGCAACACAAATAATAATACTGCAAATTATCTTTGTAATAATTCGACTGGAGAAAAAAAGTGTTTTTCTGATTATTATGGTCAAAACTGTTCAACATTTTGTTTAGCTGACAATAAAACTGACAATTTTGTTTGCAATAAAATAACTGGTGAAAAACTATGTTTTGATAATTACTATGGAGAAAACTGTTCTGTTTACTGCAACACAAATAATAATACTGCAAATTATTTTTGTAATAATTTGACTGGAGCCAAAGAATGTTTTTCTGATTATTATGGTCAAAACTGTTCAACATTTTGTTTAGCTAACAACAAAACTGACAATTTTGTTTGCAATGAAATATCTGGTGAAAAACTATGTTTTGATAATTACTATGGAAACAACTGTTCTGTTTACTGCAACACAAATAATGATACTGCAAATTATCTTTGTAATAATTCGACCGGAGAAAAAGTATGTTTTTCTGATTATTATGGTCAAAACTGTTCAACATTTTGTTTAGCTAACAACGAAACTGACAATTTTGTTTGCAATGAAATAACTGGTGAAAAACTATGTTTTGATGATTATTATGGTGACAACTGTTCTGTTTACTGCAACACAAATAATAATACTGCAAATTATCTTTGTAATAATTCGACTGGAGAAAAAAAGTGTTTTTCTGATTATTATGGTCAAAACTGTTCAACATTTTGTTTAGCTGACAATAAAACTGACAATTTTGTTTGCAATAAAATAACTGGTGAAAAACTATGTTTTGATAATTACTATGGAGAAAACTGTTCTGTTTACTGCAACACAAATAATAATACTGCAAATTATTTTTGTAATAATTTGACTGGTGTCAAAGAATGTTTTTCTGATTATTATGGTCAAAACTGTTCAACATTTTGTTTAGCTAACAACAAAACTGACAATTTTGTTTGCAATGAAGTAACTGGTGAAAAACTATGTTTTGATAATTACTATGGAAACAACTGTTCTGTTTACTGCAACACAAATAATAATACTGCAAATTTTTTTTGTAATAATTCGACTGGAGAAAAAGAATGTTTTTCTGATTATTATGGTCAAAACTGTTCCTTATTTTGTTTAGCTAACAATGAAACTGACAATTTTGTTTGCAATAAAATAACTGGTGAAAAACTATGTTTTGATAATTATTATGGAGAAAACTGTTCTGTTTACTGCAACACAAATAATAATACTGCAAATTATTTTTGTAATAATTTGACTGGAGCCAAAGAATGTTTTTCTGAATATTATGGTCAAAACTGTTCTACATTTTGTTTTGCTAACAACAAAACTGACAATTTTGTTTGCAATGAAATAACTGGTGAAAAAGTATGTTTTGATAATTTTTATGGAGAAAACTGTTCTGTTCACTGTAACGCAATAATTGGTTTTAATCACTCCACTGGATATTTTACATGTGATAATGTTACTGGAAGAAAGTTATGTTTTTCTAATTACTATGGAGAGAATTGTACAACTTTTTGCAATAATAGTAGTAAAAGATTTTATTGTAATAAACTCAATGGTCAAAAATTTTGTCGTCCTGGAAGGTTTGGTGCAGACTGTGAAGTTTATGACAAAGTTTTGTTTTTTAAATCTACGACTGGTTTGATTACAATGATTTTTGTTCCACTTGCATTTCTTTTTATATTGGGTTTTTTTGTGTTAAATCGATTTAGGTAATTATTATTTTTTTTAGTTTCTCATTATATTATGATCTCTTAGATCATTTAATAGTTGTTTTTATGTCACTTCTATAATAATATAGTTTTATCAAAGATATATTTTATGATTTATTATAATAAATAGAAAATTTTTAAATTGACATTTTTTTAAACTAATTTTTGTTCTTTCTATGAAAACAACTTTTTTTTAGAACAACTTTTTCTCAAAACAACCCTTTTTATTAAAACAAAACTTTACTTTAAACCGTTTTATCATAACAAATCTCTTCTTAATACATCTTATGCAAGTATTTTTCTTATTAATGTTTTTTTAGAGAAACATTGAGCTTTAAAATATTTAATTGGACAGGTAGCATTCAGAGTCATTCAGAGATTTGAAAGATAAAAACATTTATTTTGTGCATATAAGTCTCACATTTTTCTTTATCAAAGCAAAAAAAACTTTTTTTAGTTTTTGGTAGTAGACTAAGTTGTTTTAAAGATTTTATTTTATTTTTTTTCATTTTTTTATTTTATGCTCAATCATAAAAATGCATGAGTGGTTATTAGAGTTTCCATGGTTTTCAATTTCGGTATTGAAAACTGGTATTCAACTAAATTTTTTCAATACCACAACCGTTTCCCAATACTAGTTTTTTATGGTTTTTAAAATTTTAACAATTGAACTTAATAAAGATAGCAATTTGCACTAATCTAGTTTTTGTGTTTGAATTTTGTAAATGAATGACAAAATAGAAGTTATTTTGTTATACTGTTTGCAAACCACAAGTTGATAAAAAAACTTTATTAATTAGTTACTTTTTAGTATTGTAATTATTGCAACACTACGATTCCATTTGAACAATTTGTATAATTATTATTAGAAAAGTATTAATGGTTGCAACATTACAATACTCTCGGACATTATTTCTGCATGAATAAGTTTTTTTGAAACAAATATTAACAGAATTTAGGTTAGATTTTTCATACATAATCACAATGGTGCTGCAGTAAAGCAAAAATATGGACGGATAGTTCCTGTAGAGAGTCAACTGTGTCACAATCATGGTATTCATCTGGCCGTAACCGATGTTTTCTACAAAAATTTACGTACCAGCGATGATCAAACATGTTTGAGTGACAAATCAAATGAAGAAGATACCGATGAATATGATTCAAAGGATTCCGAAGAACTTCTTTTTAATCTTACTTTGGAAGAAGATAATGATTCAGATTCTGATTATACCAGGTATACCGGTATGAAATGAGCGTTTTTTGTGAAAATAAAACACTAATTATTAATGGGAAAGTATAAAACATTTTATTCAAAGTATTGGCCATTGTTTTCTACACATTTTGACCACCTTTCTGGCAATTTGTGGATACCACGCCAATAAAATTGTTCGTTTTTTAAAGCAAACCAACCAGACACCCAATTTTCGACCTCCTCGTAGGAATCAAAGTGCTGCTCAGCCAATGCGTGTCCCATCGATGAAAACAAATGGTAGTCGGAAGGAGCCAAGTCTGGTGAATACGGCGGGTGGGGTAGCAGCTCCCAGCCAAGTGTTTTGATTGTATTCTGAACCGGTTTTGCTATGTGTGCAGGTGCATTGTCATGGAGCAAAATTACCTTGCCATGTCTTCTGGCCCATTCTGGTTGTTTCTCGATCAATGCATGGTTCAAATTGATCATTTGTTGTCGGTAGCGATCAGTATTGACGGTTTCACCAGGTTTTAGGAGCTCGTGGAACACCACACCTTTCTAGTCCCACCAAACACACAGCATTGTCTTCTTGCCGAATCGATCTGGTTTTGCAGTCGATGTTGATGGTTGTCCCGGATTAACCCATGATTTTTTCCGTTTAGGATTCTTAAAATAAATCCATTTTTCATCGCCAGTAACAATCCGATGCAAAACCGATTTTCTTTCGTGTCTTCGAAGCAAAATTTCACAAGTGTTTTTTCGGTTTTCCATCTGTCTTTCATTCAATTCATGTGGCACCCATTTTCCACACTTTTGGATCTTTCCCATAGCTTCTAAACGGTCAGAAATTGTTTGTTGTGCAACATTTAACATTTCTGCCATTTGCTTTTGACTCAAAGTGTCATCTCCATCCAATATCATTTGCAATTCGGCGTCTTCAAACTTTTTTGGTGGTCTTCCACGTTCTTCATTTCTCACATCAAAATCATTATTTCTGAACCGTTGAAACCATCTTTTGCATGTTGCTTCTGATAGAGCATGATCACCATATGCCTCGACAAGCATTCGATGCGACTCTACAGCACTTTTCTTCAAATGAAAACAAAAAATTAATGCTTTCCGCAAATCATCACTTTCCGGTACAAAATTCGACATTTTTAACACGATGAAAAAATATGATGTTGTCTGTTCAATGACTTGATGTATGCTAAATATGTTTCACAGATGTCATAGCAAACAAACAAAAAAAAATAAAGGCTCGTTCACAACAAATGTTCCCTATCGAGACATTTGTATCTTGACGCTCACTTCATACCGGTATACCTGGTAATGACAATGGTTATCTTAAGAGAATCGCAGCGACATTTTTAATGATATCATAGAGAAAACTCCTCCCGGAAGCAGCAACAGAATGTTTCAAGATAATATCAAGTCTGTATTGAATAATTCACGTAAACTGATTAAATTTTTTAAATTGTCAAGCGTTTATAACTCCATATTGCAAAAGCGTGTTTTCGAACAAGAAAATAAAAAACTGATGCTAATACTTGACATTAAAACTCAATAAAACTCTTTGGTTCCCATGATTAAAAGGTTGGTAAAATTGAAACCATGCATTCAAAAAGCAGTTTTGGACATTAAAATTGACTTCCTCGTAAAAAAAAATAGTTTGTAAAAACAAATAGTTTTTATGAGGAAGTCAATTATGAGAAAGTCAAATTACGATTTTAAAGTTTTAGAAGAAATTTCAAGTGTTAAAATTTATTTAATTGTGTTAAGGAGCAAAATAAGGATTATTCAATTATTCTGACCAGTGAAGGTGTTCACATGTTTTTGTTCAAAAATCTTTCTAAACAAACGTCTAACTTAAGTTTAGTGATCTAGATTCCAAAAAGATTTAGTGTCACTTATGAGATATTTTCAAAACCCTAACTCAAATACGTAACAAAATAACAATAGCTTCAAATATTCATCAAAGTCATCAAATATTCAATGTGCAAAAAATTTAGTTAAACAAAATTTTACCAAAGTACTGGATAGTGTCAATGTGGAATCATCGGATCAAGAAGTTGCTGAAGAAGCCAATAATAACGTTAAGACACAGTTGCAACAATCCCTAACAAAGATGGCTTCTTTCCAACCCAAGGTTAGTTGTTCTGATCCATTTTCAGAGATATAAGGGAGTTTAAGCTGTTTAAAGCAAGTGGAGTTCGAACATTCAAATAAGATTGATGCTGCTCTCAAAACAATTTAGCCGACGTCCAGCTAAAGAATATTTTCGGTTGCTGGTAACTTTTTAACTAAGTTTCAAACCCAAGCCGACGTTAAAATTTTTCTAAGGATTAGGCTAATTTTTTAAAATGTTTTTTACAAATGCCACGCAATACCAGTTTGAACCGGTATTGAACTATTTAGCAGTTTATACCGGTATTTTGAACAGTTTATTTCGGTATTGAATACCGAAAACCAGTATTATAAATTTCCGATATTTTGGAAACTCTAGTGGTTACAATATAGCATCTTATATATAGGCTATTGGGCTAAAGTGTAAAGTCATAAGGTTTTTTTTTACTATTTAAAGAAAATCCTAAAAATTAAAAACTTAATTTTTTAAAAAAGTTTTTGTCATTACAGTTGACAGTTGACAGTGGACTACTTGATATCTCAAACTTTTGTGTATCTCAAACTTTATTTCCAGTCCCTTGCACGTTCATTTGAGCCAAAATCCTCTTGTTATCTCAAAGTCTTGATATCTCAAACTTTTTTCCCGGTCCCTGGGGATTCAAGATACTGAGAGTCAACTGTATTGAAAGAAATTTCTAAATTTATATAACTGAAGTTTATTAATTTACCAACTTTTGGTAAATTATAAACCAGTATTTTTATAAGATTTAAATAATGTTTAAGTAATTTGCATACTTTAAAGGTTATCATTAGCTAAGAAATATATCATGTAATTGTTTAGCATTCATGATTTAAATTTATAGGTGAATCTTCTAACAAGTCACTTGTCTACTTATTTAATGTAGATAAATCTAATGTAGAACACTTTGTTCATTGTAGGAGTTTTTTATGTAGATTTATAATTATAAGGTTACATATAAATAAAAGATACTCCATTTCCCATAGAAACATTACTGACAACAGTAAAAAAAAGTTCGCAAGGATCATCAAAACGTGTGATCAAAACTGCTTTCTCAGAGATACCTAGAGTTTTATCTACGTTCTATAGTGTTTTAAGTTATCATATTCAGGTCAGGTCAGGTCAAGTTACCCTGCTACTGGTAACAAGTAATTAAGTGTAGCCATTTTTATATGGGCAGGTTGTACCTTGTAAATCTTGGTTGATAATATTCTTAGCGTTTATTTGACAATAAAAAATACTTAGTCGCAATCTTCAAAACAGGTTAACGCTAGAAAGGATGTAAAATATGGCTTCAACTTTTTCTTAATGTCATTTAAAATAGCAAGTTTGAAAACACAGACGCTTAACATAAAAAAATGAATTAATGTTTGTTCATAGTAGTATATTTTTCATAATTATATAATAGATAATAGCATTTAAGTAATGATATTTGCTTTATTTATAGTTTTTATATTTTAAATTATTTTAGGATTTTTATTTGAGTTTAAATGATTTTTACTTTTTAATTTTAATAATTTCTTACAATATATATTTTTATTATTCATTATTTTTCAGTTACTTTTAAGAATTGTTGGTAATAAAAAATATTTCATAACCAATAATTCTATTTCTAGAAATAAAAATGCATCAACTTTTTTGTCATTTAAAATAGTAAAATAGTACTAT